GAGAATGGCGAGCGACGCGGATCCAATACCTTCAACGTACCCACTAGCTCCGCCATCTGGACAACGCCTCTCGCAGCACGATCGCCCAGTACATCGCCGAGTAGGATGGCACAAGACCACATCCCCAACAGCGACCTAGGGAATGACCAGAACTTGGCGGGACCCTTCTCCCAAATGGGCATTTCGAAAGAAAGGAGCACTGCTATGTATGGCAACGCATTTCGCTACGATACAGAACCTTTCAATGTCAATGGCTTCGGTCGGACACAGGACCACCGCTCCAACTCTTCACGACAATCTCAATCTTCACCCTCCTACCGTGCTACCCATGCTGCAAGCAAATCGACACAGTCCCAGCAACAATTCCCCAATCACACGAGCCAAGGCAGCAACCACCTGGCTCTCAATCAAAAAGCATTTAATCATAATAACAGCCAGAGTCTGGATGCAACATCCTTCAATTTCCTGGGAAACATGGCCGGTACATTTGCTTTGAATCCTAATTGCCAGCCCTGGAGCAACGACGCGAGCGGACAACGTGTCAACGGTAACAGCCTGGATCTTAGTTCTGAGATGATGAACGCACAAGTCTCCGCGATGCCCCGGGGTTCCATCGATCGGCTCTCGAACCTCACAGAGCAAGGACCCAACCCCAGAGCGAACCCGCACATTTGGAGTCAAGTGTATTCTGCTCGGCCATTGGATCAAGGTCTCCGCATGACGAACCAAGTCAACCAACTGCAAGCACAGTCTATACCCTACTATGGTCCCCAGCTGGCGATGTTCCCTGAACACAACGCTTCGTATGCCATCGGACTTGACCAGTACCCCCAGCGCTATCACCACCTGGGGCACAACAATTCTGGGTATGGAACACCGTACCCCTATCATAATCAGAACAATGGCCCTGGGCCAAAGATCTACAAAAACCAATGGGTGAAAGAGTTCTGTGGACGGTTGACGAAGAGGTCTGGTCCTCAACCAGAGCTTTGTGAAGCCTTTGGCCACATGGTCGATGCCAGCGGAGAACAGGAATCGTCAAGGTGGCTTCAAACGAAGCTGGCCAATGCGACCAATGAAGAGAAGACTCGAATCTTGCTAGAGATAGCAGATGACGCTCGCACCGTGATGATCTGCTCTTTTGGCAACTATGTAATGCAGAATTTGATCGAATATACGGGGCAGGGAGAGAAATTTCACATTCTTCAGCAAATGAAAGGCCACGTCAATGATCTAGCACGGAACAAGCACGGTTGCCGTGTAGTCCAAAAGGTACGCACTGTCATTTCTCGTTGATCTACAAAATTCTAATTTAAGCAGGCTATAGAGCACTTCCTTGTCGACCAAAATCTCGAACTTGTCCAGGAGATCCAACCCCATCTACTTGATTTGATGAAGCACGAGACTGGAAACCATGTTATCCAAAAGTTCGTCCAAGAACTCCCTTTAGCACATCTCACCTCCTTTGTTAGGGTTGCTGAAGAACATGCCTTGGAACTCAGCCAGGATTCGCATGGATGCCGGGTTATTCAACGACTTCTGGAGGTGTGCCAGGAGGACGACATCAGAAAGGTCTTGGATCCGCTTTACCCATCGATGGAGATGCTTGCCACAAACCAATTCGGCAACTATGTCGTTCAGGCTATCATCGAGCACCGACCCGGCAGTGACAGGGATCGAATTGCTGAGATGGTCATCAACAAACTGTTGTACTTCTCCAAGAACAAGATTTCGTCCAATGTGGTAGAGAAGTGCATCGCCTTTGGCTCGGATGAACAACGAACGCAAATCCGCGAACAGCTCTGTACTGTCAGTGCAAGTGGGAAGGACACTTTGTTCGAGCTGATCAACGACCAGTTTGCAAACTATGTTATTAGTAAGTGGTCACTCTGTTTATACATGCGACGATGGCTGACACAAGGTAGAAAGCCTGGTTCACAACACCAAAGGTCCCGGGCAGCAGCAGCTGGCACAAAAGATCCATACGCACCTTGAAACGATGAAGAAGAGTGCACCCCTTCCAAAACCATCACACAGTTTGAGCCAAGTGGTGGAGAAGATCTTGGTTGTCGACAATATGGCTATCAGTCTCAAAATCGAAGTTGACTCGGCGGAACCAACCCCAATGTTGACCAATGAAACGAATAGCCCCCAGAGTGATGGGCTACCAAGTGCCAACGGCAGTGCCATTGGAGTCCCATCTACCGGCCTCAAGAAGCCAGAGGTCGCAGTTCGCGTCCATAACGATGAGGCGTAAACAGCCAATCAACGATTGAGACAGCGGCAGCGGACTCACCCTCATGCTTGCAAACAGAGAGAATCTTACTTCATACGTTGTATTACACATAGATTTGGATGTCTTGGTTAATAAGAGACAAACCTCGCTACGGAAAGCCCTCCGTCGAGGTGCACATACGGACAAAAGAACAAGGCAGGCACTTGATCATAGGAATTATGCCATTACGAGGTACAGACAATGTACTTAATACAATGAGGTGCCGCTTGGAGTTTGGTTGGATGATGGGTGTTTTGTATTTGTCATTGGGTTTATTCATGTCTTACAGGCAGCTTGTTTGGTTTCTGGGATAGTAAACGAAAAGAACATGACAGCGTTACAATCTTACTGAGGGTCTCCCTTGATGAAAGGAGGTGGGTTGGAATGAAAAGTGGAAAAGGAGACGACTCTTATGAGGCGTTGTCGAAGTACCCTTGGTTTATGAACAAAGCGTGTGTCTCATTAACCCCAGGGAAGCCAAGACCGGGCCATAGCCAGGTACCTTGCTTATTTCTGTAGATTGAATATTTACTTAATTAAAAGAATAGTCTAATAATTTGCTGAAGGGTGATTTTCAAGTACATACATAACTAGTATCTACTATTAGATTGGACCCCTGCGGCTATGAACGGCAATTCGCAAACAAGCTACTGAGCACTAAACCAGTTTTGGAGAAATGACATATGAGGGTGAGATCCATTGGGGCCAAGTCATTTAAGCAGGTACGCACGCCGATTGCCGGTTCCTCTCCGACGGGACCCTCTGTATCTTTAGTACCTATAGTACTTCCTCAACATGCTAGCTACATCTTTTGGACTGCACCATATCAAACCTCAACAAGCTCTTCTTTAAACACGACGATATTGTTCTAGAGAGACCCTTGTTTCCATGATTGAATTACTTGGAACTCGTTAGCCATCGCTAATTCTACGTCCCGAATCTATCGATCGCTGCTCACTCCTTTTCTATCCGCGGGGTCATCTTTTGCCCACCATGACGGCCGCTGCTCGGTTGACCTTCTTGAGCCCGCAGGTCCTGCGAGGTCTGCGTGCGACACCCCGTTCTGCTGCTGGGTTTGCTCGACATAGAGGTACTTTCGCGCGAAGGAGAGGAAAAGCCGTTGAGCCTCAACCCCCAAGGTCAGATACGACCGCCAAGCTTAATGCCTCGCACCCACTCACTGGCGAAACTCCCACTCGTCCCGAGCCGGAGAGCAGCACGACACAAGAGTCGGCACAGGCGATGCCAGATAAGTCAGTGTCTACGAACGAGGCTGCTGCATCGACGAGCAGTAAGCAACAACCTAAGGAGAACGAGACATCGAAGGAGGAACAACAAGCCAGAACAGCCCGGGAAGAGGCAAAACAAAGCGGCCCCCTTGAAGCAGTACTGCATATGGAACCACCAGAAGCAACCAAGAACACGACGACGACAAGATCAGGGCCAGCCATGTGCCCACCACCCTACGTCCACCATTTCGATACCTACTCGCTCGTGAAGCAATTACAAGAAGGGGGCTATACACAGGAGCAAGCCACAACGTCAATGAAGGCGATTCGAACATTACTTGCCGAGAATCTCGACATGGCGCAGTCAACTCTTGTCAGCAAGAGCGATGTGGAAAATGTGAGGGTCTTGGCCGATAGAGGTCAAAGCAACATTGACTAACAGCTTCCTCAGGAAACATACCTTTTCACAGCGGCTTGTTCAGAGTTGAGTACTGAGATTAAGAATAACCGACGGCTTGAAGAAGAGCAGCTACGACAACAGCGAACACACCTGCAGCACGAGGTCGACATCTTAACGCAATCGCTCAATCAGGAGGTTCATACGCTTAATGATAATGTTCGGGGTTCTTTCAACGATCGCAAAATGGCCGTCAGGGAAGAACAGAAAAGTGTTGAGAGCTCTGTAAGAATCCTTTCCGATATCGGCAAGATTTGGTGACTGACCGTATCACAGATTCAGCAAATCAACTACAAGATCAGCATTGTTCTTAGTAGCGATGCTAAATCAGAAATTGAGGCAGTAAGATGGATTCTTATCCGTCGCTCTGTTCTGGGAATACTGTTCATGGCTGTTTTGACGCTTGGTACACTTCGGTATGCCACATATGTTAGCCACGAGCGACAAAGAGAAGCAGATCGTATCAAGAAAGAAGAGGAAGAGAAGCGAAGAAACGGCGGAAAGCAGGATCGCGCTACGGATGCCGACGCAATTGCAATTCTGGCTGCCAACTAAACACGGAGAGACATACGAAGAAGAGCATGGGAGGCACAACATCAACAGCATACAGACGAACGAGCACTTTTTCCTTGGGATTTTTTAAATCGATACCCTATAGATTTTCTACTTGGAACTACAACACGGTGTTGCAACAGACAAAAGGCTGCATCATGAGGACTTGTGCAAGTTTCATGAGCTGATGAGCCTTGGTTATGATGGGTTAGGCATGGATGGATACATATGGTACATACAAACACGACATACAATTGGCTTTGACAAGCTTGTTTTCATAGACGTATATAGATATTCTGGATATTTTAAGACCAGATTGACTCTGGATTTCCTTTATAGTCGTTGAGGTTCTGGAATTATAGTGATCATGATTGACCACGTGCGATAAGAGGTATGTACAGCACTTTACCCCACGCGCCGCCTTATCAGTCGCGTCTCGCAACCACCAAGACCAAACATCTCCAACATCAGTACCATATTTATCGTCATGGCGCCCGATCCGCAGCCTGAACAACCCGCGCAGGCCGAAACAGCCCAAGAAACAACTCAATCTCAATCCCAGGAACCAGAGCGACAACCAGAATCAGAACAAGACCCTCCCGCATCACCGCCCCTCCCTCAGCGACACACAGCCGTTACGCCTGGTCCCCGCGCCGCGCGTCTACAAGAACTCTACGCGCGATCGCTAAAGAAGACGCTGGGCAAGATTGGATGGGACAATGTCGCCGGCTGCTACCCTACGGTTGCAAAGAGGGCGGAGGGTGTGTTGAGGCAGGTTCAGGGACAAATGGTTGATAAGCTTGGCGAGAAGTGCGAGGTATGACACAACGAAGCGGTAAATACGAACAATGCTGATACGGGGTGGACAGAAAGAGTTTGATAATATTATGGTATCGAGACAGGTCGTTCCTAAGCTCAATGATCTAGAGAGCCTTATTAGCGATGCCTCCCGCCGACGTGCAGAGTCAACAACAGAAGAACCAACACCGCAAGTTCCCTTCTCACTATTATCTATAATCGCCTTCCACTAACATATGTATAGTCCCCATCTTTTACCCCCATCAGCCATCCTCGCCGCACATCTCACGCCCGCCCTCACGGCGCACCAGTCGCAGCTCAATGCTCGCCTACAGACGACACAATCGCAAAACGCTCTCTTGTACGAGGAAGTTCGTCGTCAAAGAGAAGAAATTCGTACACTTCTTGATGCCCTCGAAGCTGTCGTCGCCGATGTCCAGGGCGCAAATGACGCGCTGCGCCCGGTTGTGGACGATGTTGCTGCTGAGACGAGACAGGGCATAGCAGCTGTTGACGCAGTCAATGGTGGTGGGCAACAAGGAGCATCATCATGACTATGAACGGCGAGAAAGATGCACCTAGATAGCATAAAGCTGAACTTATGCTGTGGTCATACAATGGATCTGGGAGTAACAGGCGTTATTATACCAATGTTTTGTTTTTGTCTTTTATAACAGCATTTACGAAGCAACGGTCACAGTTAATCAAGCATTTAGATGCAATGTCATCTTCAAAATGTTTCTTGCCATGTTTTCTATGTACAGGCATCGCAATCCATGCATGCAAACGTGTATGAATTGCTGATATGGAAAAGCAGCCATGACCACTCATGCTGAAAACCAAATGGCTGAGGGCGCGACTCACCACAACCCAATGCCGTGTAGCGTCCTCAAATGTACAAAGTGCGAGGATCTAAGCAAGCAATAAATGAAATGAAATGCAAACTCCGTTCCATGATCGTAAGCCCCTGTCATCATCGGCTGATGCATCCGCAGCCTTCCATGCGCCAGATATGCAGAGAAAATATGTACTGCGAAGAAAGTAAGAGATGAGGAGAAGAATATCTAGCTCCGTATGTGACAAAATATGACAGGTGATCTAGTTGTATATGTCGTAGAATGAACCCATGACAGGGTTAGATGTGTGCCATCTTGAAGGAAGTATGGCTGGTCGCGGTGGTGTCTGTCGTGTAAGAGAATAGTTGTCGACTCCAGTGAGTATGTGTATGTAGTAATGATGAGATAGATGATAGATGATATAGTGGTGGTATACGAGGGTGTGTCCGTTTGGCCAAGAACTCAGATAAGTCTGTTTTCGGTATGAACCGTTTGCCAAGCCCCAAAGTAGTCGATCTCACCGTAGGCAGGCGGGAGGACCCTGACCATTCGGCCTGTCGTCCAATCAACATAGAACTTCTTGCCATTGCTGATGATGTATGGTGTTTTGCGGGGACTTCTAAAGAGTAGGTTGCTGTAACAGAGCTTGGCATACAGCAAGTCATGAGCACTCGACCACTGATGTTCTGGTATCCATTTTCCATCGACAGGGTCAATGCCCATGTTGTTGTATGACGTTGTGCTGAGACGACGGGCAAGGTCTATTCGCGGATGGGGTTCAACCACTTCTTCTTCATCTCCTTCAACCTCGATTTCAGGTTCTAGCCTGGTTTGAGATTCTGGAGCTGATCGCAGAGGTGGCGCTGATGGACGAGCCTCATTTGTTGTCGCAGAGACTTCTTCAGATCCTCCTTCAATGCCTAGTTCTGACAAATCAATAGCTGTAGCCGTTGGCGTTTGGCCATGGAACCACCGAATTCGTTGTATTCGGGGAATAGACATATCACGCGGGAAATCTCGGTCTTCCAGAGGCAGAGCAATATCGATAGCCGCGAACAGACCTTCGAGCCATTTGTTAAATGTACTCAGCTCGATACAGCATAGGAGAAATTGGTCTGTCTCGGCTCGAATACGGATGGTATATCGCCTCCTGTATCTTGTTAATAACAAACCCTAGGTCTTGACTTTGATAGCTTACTTCGTATAGTCAGCGGCAATACCGACATCCGCATATAAGAGGCTATATGTCTTCTCAAGCTTGCCCCTCTTCACCCATGGAGGGTTATCTGGGTCGACCGACGGCCCGTCACTGCGTGTTCTACCCCAACTCCATGCTTTCTTGGTACCATATATGCTAAGCGCTGTTCCATTCAAACAGACATGAACGGGATACCATTGGCGGTCCTCGGCCCTCTTTATCAAGTTTTCGATTTCGTGTTTCTTGTCAAATACACCTTCCAGTAATATTGAGTTCTTATAGTCGGGCAGGCTTTCTTTTCCTGTATCTGGATGAAGCTGAGTTTCGCCGCCCCCACCAGTCGTGAGCTCCTTCCCCTTCTCCAAACGATCCCCATCATGGGAGACATTCGACGTTGTCGGCGGCGGATCTCGCTCTGGCTGGTACGGAGGCGGCTGGGAGGGTCGGCGCGGACTTGTCATGACACGCTGGTAGTAGAGGTCCTCCTCCATCGATACACGCCGCCTGAGGGGCGGCGACGTAGGAGCGGTCGTGGATGATACATCGTCCTCGGCCGTGGCCCTGCGTAGGTCCATTGGAGGGAGATGGGACTTATATGAAGTCGGAGAGGGCCCCACGACCGGCCGATACGGAACGGAAAAGGCTCACAGGGTGACTCTGTCGTCTGGGGGCGTGAACCTCAACGAGCATTGGCCATAGGAGTCTCCATAGAGGACGGTAAACTGAGGAGGTTGATCATTCCGACCCGCTCTGAGGTTGTGTGGAGAGGTTTGGAAGAAGAAACTGGAGCGAGCCAACAGAAGTCGTAGGTGAGAGGATCAGAACAGTCAGCATGGATCCACGAAGAGAAGCATCTGTCGTGGAAGAAGGTCGCACGCAGGGATTCGTAAGTTTGAGGAGAGAATCGTGGATCGAAGGGGGGTGTGAGTCGAGCTGGAAGACGGGGTTCAACGGGATGCCGGTAGGGCCCAAACCAGGCGTGCCTCCGTCCAGCTTCGATGGGGTATGGAAGAGGAATGGAAATGCGGCGGCTCTTTTGCTCGGGGTGACTAGGATCGATGGTAAGGTCAGGGAAACGGTGACCAAACCGGAGCAGCCAGACCAGAGCAAAGCGACGTCAGCCGTTTCAAAAGGGCCCACGTTGAACCGAGCTTTGAGGAGGATTCAGATGAGAGAGTGGAGTGGCAGCCAGAAGTCGTCGAAACGTGAGGGTGCGGGAATGGTATTGGGGAGCGTGGACCAAAACGCTGGCACAGGCTCAGAGTGGCGAGATGAGGCTGCTGGCGCGCTGTTGCAGTGGACGCTACCGTATTTTTTCGAGAAAAGCGATTTCGCCTAAATCGAACAAGTCAGGACAATCACAATTGGATCTGATGCGACAGAGTATTGGCCTTTTGTCTCGGCCGGGTTGTGGGATGCGCGGATGTGATGCGATCCGCACTTTTGAAGGGCGCATCAAAGTGCAGCAGAGTTTACTGTACTAAATGCGCCGAATTTCCGCGCTGACTGCCGATCTCGCCTCTGCTAGTGGATATCTTTTTCAGATTTGGTGTAGGGCTCTGTATCTTTGTTCTAGAGGTGCTATTATTGACCTCAAGTATGTCGCGATGATGAAGAGTGCAAGATGCCGTTGGTGGTGCCAAGTCCAGGGTTCTCCTCTTCCTTCCAAGGCGTGGTTGTCGACTCGATTTGACTCCGCAGGAGCTGGGCAGTGAGATTGTACTGTAGGCCAGGTAGATGTCGGGGAAAGAGCACCCTGATCGTTAAAAGAGCCCCGGTCCCGGGAAAGCACGACACATGGCATGGCATGGCATGGCTTGCTTGACCTGTTCTGTGCCTGCGCCTGCCTGGCGCTGTCTCTCGGTGGTGGACTGTCAGTGGCAGCCGCATGTTGCAGGTTCAAAAGGACCACCTTCCCGCCAAAAGGTCCCGCGAACTAGGGTCTCACAAGCCCACACTCACAGACCGAACCGCACGAGGAAGTTGCAGCACACGGCCCCACCTTGCCTCGCTAGTCCCGGTCGGGGAGGTCACAAAAGGGTGACGGATAACCGGCACAGGACTTGCCTGAGAGAGTTTCTCTCCACTGCCAATGGAAGCTCTGCTACGAGTATGCATTTTAACCTTGAATTATGTATATGTTTTTGGCGATATGATAATCACCCAACCCTCTTTGGGCGTTTATCCCATACATACATAGTCCTCATAGTTTTGCTACAAGGGCAATTGCCGTGCTAGTTAACATCCGAAAAGCCATGCCAGTAAATCGAGGGAGGCACCCGATAGAGTTCAAGCCTCGATACGGACTAATCTATTCAACGTACGGAGTACATAAGCCACAATCGATATCTCGGCCGGGTCTCGACTTCAATATCCGGAGCCTCAGGTCGTGGTCGTCGCTTAAAGCCTTTATTATTAAACACGAGACCTGTCCTGCAAGTCATTCATTCTGTTACTTGATAGGACGTCAACTCGCACAAAAGTCCTTTCCACAGTGAAGATATTTCGGCCCTCATTTCATCAATCCGAGACGCTGCATTGCAGGCACAACAGCATGAGCCAACCAACATAGAAAAACGGCACCTTGTTCCGTTACAAAAGTGCCCTTCACCGTTTCGATGAATAACGATTCAGTCTGATTGCTGATTCGCCCGTCAAAAGCGAACCAGACTCCTGGGAACTTTCCGGAGTACTGTACGTACGGAGTACTGTATCCTTTTTCTCCAGGACAGCTTTCCTCATCGCTTTGGAAGCGTTGCGCTCGTCAAAGGAACTTTTGATACTAGCATTGGCACCTTTGATAGTGGCCCCTCTTCTATGTCTGGGGTCAGGCCCTTCTACTCGGCGTCTCTTTTTCTCATAAATAGCCCCACACTAATATTCTATATGACTATTTCCTGTTATTCTATTAATCATAGTCAGCCATCGTGACATTTTGATTCCTTGTAACAGGTAAATCATTTTTCATGTTTCATGCGAGCTGCCTGGACGAATCACGGATGAATTGATCGACTCATCCATCCTCGGACTCGATGAATGCGACATTAGCCAACTCACTCGCACAAGACAACGAATGAATCTAATTAATAGGTACCTACCTACACGGACTACACCGAAAACCCCCCTCTTCTTCTACGAAGGATCCAATAGACATTGTCAATAGTAAATCTTATAGCGGCCCGCGCGGGTTGCACAACATTTCCGGACCATCTCCGTGAGAAACTTCCCGTCTTACTGTCCATTGGGTTCCCAATATGGGTGCACTATGACTACACTATTAAGCACAAGAATCTGGAGCAGGGCCGATTGATAACTAGTACTATCACGACCTATGTTGCATGCATTGCCTAGGCATGTACATATGTAGGAGCCTGGTTTGTTGCGGGGGAGAGAACACGCAAGCACTTTTCTTGGTGTGACGTGACGTTTGATCATCAAGATAATCAACCAATTCATCATGCAGTGAGATTGTTTGATTTGCTTGGGCTTGGATTGCTGCTAATTCCGTCCGTGACACCGGCAGTCGAATTGCTTCTTGACGATCACGCAAATCGCACGGTAATTATTCCTCCGAGAGACCTGTAAGCAAGGAAGTCAGAAGTCTGGAGAGTTTACGCTCTATGCCGATCCTTTCCTTGTCTCATCTTGCAAGGAACACGATCCTAAAAAGTACCGTCGACGGAGTTTTAAGTCGAGGCTCTCACATTCCATCCACAAGTTGATTAATTACCTTTGACTGAGGTATACATATAATATACGTACGTGATTCATGTATCGTAAACCAAGCCTACAGGCTTGCAGAACAAGCACCCCATGGATGATCCTCTCCCGTCTTGGCTGCAACCTTTACTCCTAAAACAATCCCAACGAAAATGTGATCAGGTCAGGCCGCTGTCTCAGATATTTCCATAGCAAACTGAACTGAACTGAACCGAACTGATCGTCCAGGACAATGGTAACGATACTCCCCGGATCTTTCGGCAAGGACCTTGCTTGCATCGTCCCATCGCCAGTAATTCTCCCTCACATAATATTGGCTGTTCTTTTCTTCTCCTTGCGGTCTGCTTTTAGAAGGTCGCAAAAATACCCGGGGAACCTTTTGTTTCCCCATGTCATTCATCGTGCGGCGTGTCCGGAATAAGCTACCCTACCTTATTACCTCATGTATGTACAATAATAGGACACGCCCTGGCTATTCGGGATAGTCTCCGACGAACCGAATGGATAGAATCAAATCGCCGTGTCTACTACACGAACACGTGCAACTTTGACCGTCGATAGATTCAAAATCAAGTTGTCTTTGCCTCTCTGCATAGTAACTATTACGCGTGGGTATCCTCTCTCGTTCAAAAGTCCCCCAGTAACTGGCTTGGCCTTTTGTCAATGCTTTTCCCTGTTACAAAAGAACCTTGACCAACGTCCATCATTAACAACAATTTCTCATGCGACGAACCGTTCGACCTCCTTGATCCACGAGGCTGGCTCTGCAAGCTTAACTTCGGATATCGTCGCATAATATAGAAGACAAGCAACAGCACCATTGCTTCTACGGGACCTTCTAGACCGATACTGGATATCATGGCCGTCATGTCCCTCCTGTCCTGGATCTTCAGCATGCTACGTTACCTGCCTCACATGACATGGCATGAAAACGTTGACTTCATATGAAAATTTTGCATTCACTTGCTCATGTGATCTGATCTGATCTGATCTGGTAGCTCGACTCAAGCAATAGAAACCAAAGAGGTACTACTTGCACAGTAAAAAGTACAGAACATGGTCCGTCCAGGCCCATTCATTTATCACAGGCCTGGACTCTCGCCCAACATCATCAACTGTCACGGATTCGTGAGTATGTATACCCGTCGACGTCCTTCTGCCCATCCGGGTACTGCCACCTCTATCGCCCGTCCGTTCGCTTTTGTAAGAATGTACACGGTCATTAGAAAGTAATGATGCCAAATCAAAGCTCCCAGCCTATGACCTTTCCCCTGTTTTCGCTGAAATCCGTAACCCAATCGCCGGCTGAGAGGATCAGATGCAGATGCAGCGCGCAAACCACCGGAATGAAAAACGAACAATTATGACTCCAAATTCCCAACTCCATCCTTCCTCCGAAAGGGAATACCAAACTCCGCTCCCTTGCCGCCCCCCCTGACCATCTGCTGAGCTTGTTTTCTCTTGTCGTCCCCTCGTGTTGATGTTTGAATGGCTATGTATATCACGTAGATTAGTTGTGATTGCTTCGATATAGGGTCCCAGTCCTTCCAGGACCTAGATAGCAAAACCAAGACTGACTGACTGCTGGTGTCAATGTTTGATCCTTGCCACTTTATATATACCAGTCGCTATTGCTTAAGCGTTATGGGACTGGGCACCACCACGGCCGCGGGGAGCGCCACCACGGCCACGGTTTTGGCCAGAGAAGTTGCCTCGGGGCCCCTGGCCACCAGATCGTCCGCCCTCAGCACCACCACGGCCACGTCCAGAAACGGGGCCTCGGCCACCAGCGTTATTCGCACCAGGCTTGTTGCGACGGGACTCGACCATGATATTCTCGCCGTTGATGGTGTGA